GAAGGGTCTAGGCCCGAAACGTCAGCCTTCCTGCTCCTCTGATGCTGCTTGGCCTGCTGTGTTCATCCAGCTCTACACCTTGTTATCACAAATCATATTCCAGCGTGTTTCACAAAGATGCTTCAGATTTAATCTTTTTGGAGGAGTTTGGTTTGGAAGGATTGTGGAAGAATGGATTTATTGTAAGTTTGGTGAAATATCTGGAGTAGTTTCATTGTAAGAGGTAATTGAAAGGTCAGTGTTGTCATTTTGTATATTTTTGAACCAGGCTTCCTGGTTACTGCTCAGGGTTGCAAGAGGGGACTTTGCTATTGGGAATGAGTTGAATTACAAGGACTAAATGTGTGAAGAAGAGCCGCCCAGCTGCTAGTTTCCGCTCCTGAAAATCTCTCTTGTTGAATTTGGGATGCTGTTGTTTTCAAAAAGTGGCTGAAGGAACTGATCGATATTTAACTTAGTCAGCAAGCTGCATCTGCCAAGACTCCAGAGATAGCTCTGTGTGTGTGTGCTTGGTGACTTGGGAAGTAACACCAGAACAATAAATGTTTGAACAATCCACACTCCTTTCCTTATGGCCTTCGAGAGCAACCTAGCTGGCTCGATTGTGAAGTGAACCTCCACAAACAGAGAGACCTCCACGTTGTTTCTACTTTCCCAATGTGTGTTTTAGCTTGCCAAAAGGAAGAAACTTTTGTACAACTGTATTGTCAGCTGCATTGTTTCACCATTTAGTGCATCTGAATTGAAAATGTTTTGTTTTGTGAATAAACCAGTGGTTTTGCATTTATTAAAGGAAGCTTGTTGATGGGTCAATTTTATGTTGGTAACCAGGAAAGCTCTTTTTGATTTGATGTTGTGTCCTATGGTGTAGTGGGGTGAGAGAACAGCCTCATAGATTCCAGTGGTTTGGTAGGAGCACAGTGAGTTCCTAATATCACAGGTAGTCAGGGAAGAGTTCCCCTTGTTCCCTTCTGTCTGGCCTAGCCTCCTGCTTGCTGTGGGGAAGAGCTTCAAAGGCTGATGTCACTGATAGGAATGATCGCATTATCCTGGCCAGGCTGCAGCTTGTCTCACATCTCAGTCAAGCAAGGGGACAGCGAGGAGATAAGGCAGCCTTCTCCATGTGAAAGGGAGAGACCTCAGGCACCTTCCAGAAACTCAGCATGTTGTCAAGCACTTTGCACAGAATCATAGAGACATACAGCACAGAAACAGACCCTTCGGTCCAACTCGTCCATGCCAACCAGATATCCTAAATTACTCTAGTCCCATTTGCCAGCATTTGGCCCATATCCCTCTAAACCCTTCCTATTCATATACCCATCCAGATGCCTTTTAACTGTTGTAATTGTACCAGCCTCCACCACTTCCTCTTGCAGCTCATTCCATACACACACCACCCTCTGCGTGAAAAAGTTGCCCCTCAGGTCCCTTTTAAATCTTTCCCCTCTTACCTTAAACCTCTAGTTTTGACTCCCCCCACACTGTGGAAAATACTTTGCCTATTCACCTATCTGTACCCCCCATGATTTTATAAATTTCTACAAGGTCACCCCTCAGCCTCCAACGCTCCAGGGAAAATAGCCCCAGTCTATTCAGCCTCTCCCTATAGCTCAAACCCTCTAATCCTGGCAATATCCTTGTAAATATTTTCTGAACCCTTTCAAATTTCACAACATCTTTCCTGTAGCAGGGAGCCCAGAATTGAAAGCATTATTCCAAAAGTGGCTCTAACCAAATTCAAATGGTGGATGGGAGACAATCATGGCTGTAGGAGCTGCTCCTCTTATTGAGGTTTTACAGTGTTGGTGCAGATTTTATCGATTTCTTGGAGCAGTAATTAGTGTTGTTACAAGCTCTTGCTTCATACTTTGCAGTGAATGAAGTGTGCTCACTGATATTATGTTCAAAGTATGACTGTCAGTTTGTGAGCAGCCGATGGTTGGGGCGTCAGGCCATCGAGCTGGGATTGCTGGGAAACTGAATGTTAAGCAGGGACACTGAGCCATAGATCTCTGAAACTGTGTGCGTGTGTGTGAGTGTGTGTGTGAGTGTGTGTGTCAGTGTGTGTCAGTGTGTGTGAGTGTGTGTGTGTGTGTGTGTGTGAGTGTGTGTGTGTCAGTGTGTGTGTGTCAGTGTGTATGAGTGTGTGTGTCAGTGTGTGTGTGTCAGTGTGAGTGTGTGTGTGTCAGTGTGAGTGTGTGGGTGTGTCACTGTGTGTGGGTGTGTCACTGTGTGTGGGTGTGTGTGTGTCAGTGTGTGGGTGTGTGTGTGTCAGTGTGTGGGTGTGTGCGTGTCTGTGTGTGTGTGTGTGAGAGAGAGACAGTGTTTCTGTGTATGGGTATGTGTGTGTGTGGGTGTGTGTGGGTGTGTCTGTGTGCGAGAGAGAGAAAGACAGTTGATCTGTGTATGGGTATGAGTGTGTATGTGTCTTTGTGTGTGAGAGAGAGAGAGAGAGAGAGACAGTGTTTCTGTGTCTGTGTATGGGTATGCGTGTGCGTGTGTGTCAGTGTGTGTGTGGGTGTGTCTGTGTGTGTGAGAGAGAGAGAGACAGTTGATCTATGTATGGGTATGAGTGTGTGTGTGTATGTCTGTGTGTGAGAGAGAGA